ACTATCATTTGCACAAATGGTTGCTTTAAGGAACATATAGCAACTACAGAATTCCAAATGGACCCTGTACTGTTTATGAGAACTAACCCTCTATCTTGTGTTTTTGCCTCAGTAGAGGAACATTTGCTTGCCTCTGGAGACTCTGGCACTGGCCAGGGATGTCCAACTCTTACTTATGTGTCTTAGGTCATCAAGGCTGCCTATAACCAAGTAAAAACAATTGCCCAAGGAAACCTTTCCAATGCAGATCTCCAGGCTGCCAAGTAAGTTTCCATATTAACTACTGTGAAAGTTGTTTTTCTTTTTCAGTTATAATGATAAAACATACTTATAAGGAATGAGGAATACAGAAAAGTATTAAAGGGGAAAGGGAAAACTGGGGATGTAGGTCAGTGGAAGAGCATTTGCTTACCTTACCATAGGTGAGGCCTAGGTTTGATTTCCAGCAGCACAAAAATAAGTAAATAATAATAAAAGAGAAACACAACCATATTCCATCACCGAGAGATGTAATTGTTAACATTTTGCTTATTTTCTTGACTCTGCGTTTTAAACATAGTTAACATTGTATTTATATCTTTTGATTCTAATTAAATATTATATTTATTGTAAAAATATGAAAATTACAAATGAAAAGAAACAGAAATAATTCCTCTTTAAGTAATTTAAGTATATGGGAGGTTGTGCATAGGTTATATGCAGATACTGTGCCATTTTATGTAAGTGACTTGAGCACTGGTATGCATGGGGGTCCTAGGATAAATAGCCCACAGATGCCAAGGGACCACTGTACTTTCTAGGTAGAGATTCCCAACTGGGTTTCTTGAAAAACATCTGATTTTTTTGTTTTGTTTTGAATAAGAAAGACGAATACATGATTTTTAAATTTCCACTATCCAGATTGAAAGTGTCAAAAAACAAAACTCCTAATGTATTAGTACTTCAGCACTTTAACTCCTAATGTATTATACTTCAGCACTTTAAAACTGACAGAAAAATTGGAAAACACCCTGCACTTTTGTTTAACAGTGAAGACATTGTATTCTGACTCCATCTACTTAGGACATTTTCAGGATGTGAAGCCTGCAACTCAAGTGTGTCAGGGTAAATTCTAACCCAGGATGGAATAGCCTTTACTCATTTCTGTTACTGTTGTTATTAGTTTCGTTATGCAACATATTACAAAATTGTATTGTAGCATGGTTCTTACAAAGTATGATATTTTATACAAAATAAAATTTTGGTTATTATTGCCAAGATATGTTTTCTGTCTTTTTGATGGAATTGATATTTTTTCTTATAAGGTTTTTAGTCTTCCTATAGCAAAGAGTGAAAGTAAAGTGTCAGTCCTGAAGGGACAAACTAATAACCTCTTGGTAAAGTTTATTGCAGGTTAAATCCTTTTTTAATTAAACTGACAATTTGCTTAAATTGCTGCATTAGATTGTGATTAAATTTAGATGGAAGTCTTGCTGTAGAGTGCCAAAGGATGATAGTTTGTTTGTGGTTTAAATAACTCAACTACCTTATTGAATACCATGGAATAATAGTTCATTTTTTAGAGAATTATAAATTGGATTTTGTCTTGTTTTGTTTCAATTTGATGCTTTTGTGTTCATACTTAAGCTGCTTGGGCTCTCAGGACTGTACCATCCTTCCCCACCTGCCTTCTGCATCCTGCTTTACCCTCACTGAGGCAAATCCTGGCATAGAATTAGCACTTGGGGGTTGGGGGAGGAGAGAGAGAGAGAGAGAGAGAGAGAGAGAGAGTGTGTGTGTGTGTGTGTGTGTGTGTGTGTGTGTGTGTGTGTGTGTGTGTATTGAGCACAGAATTCTGCTAAATGAACCTGCATAGGTAGATAATTTTCTTTAGTGTAAATACTTGGATTATCACTAAAAATGTAGCGGAAGGCAGGAGTTATTTCACGTATAGTTTTACCTAGATCTAAGTTCTAGTCCAAAATCAAAAGGTAATGCATGCCTGTCGAGGCTGAGGCAGGAAGATGGCGAGTTCAGCAAAAGCGATGCACTAAGCAACTCAGACCCTGTGTCTAAATAAAAATGCCCCTGAGTTCAAACCCTGGTACACACAGACACACATACACACACCAGGAAAAGGCAATCTGTTGAGTTTTCAGTACAGTTTTATATTGAAAGTTTTCCAAATAGTAAATGATAAAGTATTCATTGGACGGAAGAAATTTATAGAATGGAGGCCTTAGCTGTTAATATTTACCAAAAACACTGTAGAACTTTGATTGCGCAAAGGGGAGGAAGTGGAAGGGAGAAGGTATGGGGGGCAGGAAAGATGGTGAAGTGAGCAACATTATTACCCTAGGTTCATGTATGACTGCACATATGGTGCGACGCTACATTGTGTACAATCAGAAATGAAAAGTTGTGCTTAATTTGTGTACAATGAATCAGAATGCATTCTGCTGTCATGTATACCCAATTTAAATCAGTTAATTAATTTTAAAAACATTGCAGAGTTTGAGCTATATACTTTTAAATTGCCTTGCTTTATAAAATTGACTTCTGCCTTTTACCAACAGGAACAAGCTGAAAGCTGGATACCTAATGTCAGTGGAGTCTTCTGCAGGCTTCCTAGATGAAGTTGGATGCCAAGCTCTAGTTGCTGGTTCTTACATACCACCAAACACACTCCTTCAGCAAATTGACTCTGTAGCTACCAATGATGTCATAAATGTAAGCAAATGAAATTTTATAGTGTAACATGAGAAAATGTAACCTTAATGATCAATTTCAGAAGAAATGCATAAGCTTCTTATGTTGTTCTATGTTGTTCTCATGCCTCACTACCTACTACACAGGGGCTTATCGTCAGATCTGCAGATAGCTTCCTTGTCAACTCAGACCTATGTGTATCTTCCTTGTTCAAATAAATTATCATTAGGTTAAACCATTTTAAAATCTGTAGGTCAGGAAGAGTCAAATACTGTCTCATAGGATCTGGCCTAAATAGTAGTGAAAAATAACAACTAAGGAATAAACAAGGGCTAGAGTTGTGGCTCAGCGGCAGAGCACTCACCTAACATGTGTGAGGCCCTGGATTCGATCCACATAAAAATAAATTAATTAAATGAAGATATTTTTAAAAAAAATAAGAAAGAAAGAAACTCCATCCTGCCAGTCCTTCCATCATCCAGCATTTCAATATTTTCTTTATTCTTTTTAGCCTAAGACCTTCTCCCACTTTTGGCATTTTTCCCCCACACATAAGACTGTGTTTTGAGGGCTAGGATTATGTCTAGACTATGTCTCATACTTCTTTGTATTCTCTAGAATGCCTAAAGAGCACAAGAGCTACAGCATATATCTAAAGTCATTGGGTTTTCCCATGTTTTTCTACATTAAGAAATGTCGACTCCTTTTTTTTTTTTTTTGTAGATGTCCCAACTATCTAAAATAATCTATTTTTTAAAGAGACAGAGAAGTTTGTTTACCTTAAGATAATAACTCTTAACTTCATTCACTTGCCTCCAAGTTCATCATTACATACTCTGCTAAGTGGCTGACCTCATCTTACATTCAAGAGTCTGCAGCCCAACTGCCTCCCTCACCATCTCTCCTCCATTAGGAAAGCTGGCCTGAGATAATGGGGACAAGGCTGGGGGAGCTGCTGCTATACCTAGACCTGACTTTCACTGCACTTAACCTAAATATAAATAACTAGGCTTTGAATCTGAAATAGTGGCATAAAGAAAACTAAAGAGGATGGGACTGTGTTTGTAGTACTTGCACATGTGAGGCACTGAGTTCAAGCCTTAACACCACATAAAAATAAATAAAATAAAATGTGTGTCCATCTACAACTAAAAATATTTTTTTAAAAAAAGAAAAGAAAATTAAGGAAGGCTGGAGTTGTAACTCAGTGGTAGAGCACTTGCCTAGCACGTGTGAGGCGCTGGGTTCGATCTTTAGCCCCACATCAAAATAAATAAAGGTATTGTGTCCATCTACAACTAAAAAGTATATATATAAAAAATAATAAAATGCTTAGTTCAGTTATCAATATAAGTTTGATTTTAACTATATTTTGATAGATCCAGACTATTTGCTGTTTTAATATAGAAGCAAGCACAACCCTGCCTGAAGTCACTCTGCCCTGTTTTGCAATGTCAGTGAGGTTTTCCTCATCCCCCTAACTACTCTGTTATCTAGATCACTGCTCTTGCTCACTGGGTCAATTTTCGATGGAATATTCATATTCAAAAGAACAGCCAAGGGCTAGGGTTGTGGCTTAGTAGTAGACCTAGCATGTGTGAGGCCCTGGGTTCTATTCTCAGCACCACGTATAAATAAAAAAATAAAGGTCCATCCACAACTAATAAAAATACTAAAAAAAAAAAAAAAAAGCTTAACTTTTCCTCCACATTGTTCCAAATTAAATGAAGCACTAGCCTTCTCATAGCTTATTCTCACAAGAGGCTATTATAGAATTGCTGGCTTAAAATGTTCTATCATGGCAAAGTAGTATGGCAAAAGTTTATCTACTTGACGGTACATTATTATTTCTTTTAATTTTCTGTCTTCTTTTGTTTTATTTAAAGGTTGCAAAGAAATTTGTTTCTGGCCAGAAGTCAATGGCAGCAAGTGGAAATTTGGGACATACCCCTTTTGTTGACGAGTTGAAACACTGAAGCACAAACTGCAAGGGAGAGCACAGAACATTTTCTCATCCCAGAGCAGCAGACACATGAAAGTCAAAAGTCTATAATTTATCTTGTTTTTCTCAACTAAGTAAAATATCATAAAACATAATTAATGGAGTCAATAAAACATTCTGCTTAAATGTTTTTCTTGCATTTTTCCTGTTTAATCAATAAGTATTTATTATATACTGAGATCTTTGTTTTTGTTTTGTTTTTTTTTTGACATGTTTTAGATGTCTGAAAGGAGGCAGGAATGTAATAATTTGGTACTTCAATTAAGAAGCATCGGACACTATTAAAATTAAGGCTAAGCAACTACCAGGGTAAAATTTCCAGATTATTATTGATGACTTTTTAAGATGAAAACAAATTAAAAATCTGTTATCATTTTGGATAACAACATTTAAATGATCTGAGTTTACCCTCTTTGCCTTTTTTTACAATGAAATCATTTCTGAAAAACAAATTCCCTATGAATCATATGCCGTGTAACTGTTACTTTATATTTCTGATTTATTTTCACTGTGGCAGTTTTTATTTTTCTCTTCTATTTCTCATCTGTTCCAATCCTGTCTCTTTGAAATAGTTAACTATCAGGCCAACACTAAAAATAAAGTAGGGCTGAAGAGTTGCTAATATGAATAACTACTCAAAGAATCTAATCTAAATATCAAAAGAAAATATGGTATTTACCTTAAAAAGAAGTTCTCTACCATGTTTATATATTCTGATGATGGTTTCTTCTACCATATTTTCTAAAAGATGGAAAATTCTCAGAAAGGAGGGTCTTCATGACCTGAATTGCTATTTTGAGAACAAGATCTGTGAAACCCAGGAAGTCTCACTTTCTCACTGAAGAAGGTCTCTAAAGGCTTTTCCACAGTCATGAAAAAGAATTGAAAAGTCTGCACATAATTCCTGTAAGAATTCCTGCAAACTTGGCAAGGCACAAAAAATTTGGTGTTTTTAAAAAATGTTCATACAACCCCACATTTGTAAACTATTGCCTAACCTTTGATGCCAGTTGACTTTTGCCCTTCTCAACTTGGGCACAGTCCTCCAGCCAAAATGCATCTGAGGTGGAGGAGATGGAGGAAGAAGAGCTTTTGTTTTCTTTCTTCACCATGGTCCAGTATGGAGATGGGGCTCTCACTTCTTTCTTATGATCTCGATGAATTATCACATCACAGTTGATGTTTTTTCCAACACTAATAGTTTGGTTCTCCTTTTTATACCCATGCCATTCTCTGGAAATAGATACTGGTCTTCTTGCAGGGTGAGGCCCAAGTGACTGTGAATAATTGTAAAATTTAAGTTTTTTATCTAAAACTACATCTTCGTTGTCATCAGGGCTTGAGAAAAATTCATCTTTTGCCTTCCCAGTTTTCTTTGGTGAACTGAAATAAAAAGAATAGTGAATAAAATGAATGTCTGAACATTTATAGTTCCCTAAAGAGATGTCTTATAGCCTGCTTTGTCTCATTAAAGTACCGTTAAATTTTTTTCCTATAAATATTGCCTTAAATTATAAATTGTAAAAACACTACTTTAAAAAGCTTTGCATAGACTTAAACCAGACTTAAACTATGCAAGACCATAATATTAGGAGGCCCTAAAGGATAGGTTAATTTCACTTGTACCTACAGGTTCAACCTGGCCATCACCTCCTGAGAATCCTGTTCTCATGGGTCATATGACAATAACAGGAAAGTTCACTGATTGTGCTCTATATGTGTAATAAGAATTGTAATACATTCTACTGTTGTGTATTTTTTAAAAATCAAAAAAAAAAAAAAAAGATCACTGATTTCCAGGGGGATCGGGAAATAAATAGTGGACCTCAAGGGTCTTCAGTAAGCAAGTCAGTATTCTTTTAATCATCTTTTTTTTCCCTGACATTGCATTGAAGTTTCTCTCTTCTTAATAAAATATTAAGTCATTTTTATTGAAAGCATCTAGTCTTAAATGGTGTGATTTTCTTATCCTTAGCTTAGGGTCATACAAGAAGATCTAGGACTGGAACCATTTGAAAAGAAAAGGAAAAACTCCAAGTTACTTTTTTTCAGATTGCAAGAGATATTCTTGGTAATTCTGTATTAGGCAATTATAAAGGACAGGTGGTAGGGCTAGGTACTTTAATTAAACTAGCATTATCGCAATAGATAATAAAAACACAGCCAGCAGAGGTCAGTGTGGGCTGGATATAGATTTTATGCCACTAGACTACCCAGAACACAATATGGAATATTCTCTCTATTGTGCACGCAGTGCCATCTGCTCCTAGAAAAGGTCATACCATAAAAGCCCTTTCCTTTCCCCATCTTCCCCTTTGCTAACCCCTTCCACATAAGTTACTAAAATACCTTACAGAAGTACTTTGCTTAGTTAAGAAAGAAAATGTGTCATCATTCCATAAGTTTGTGGGGTTCAGTTGTGCTATTCTCTGTTTATCTCTGCTTTTGAATGGTCAATCTGCCATCATTAACTTTTAATATTCAGAACCTCAGACTCTTTCCATGTAATGAACAAGCTTAGGACATGGCAGTTCTACAAGCAAATGGTTAAGGGCTCCGGCTTTAGAGCTGCACTCTCCAAAACAGGCTGCTGGCTACGTGTGGCTAAGTTTCAACTGAATATTTTGAATAAAAATTAAAATTCCCCAGGTACAGTCCCCATATTTAAGTGCTTAATAGTCACATGTGGCTAGCCTACAGGACAACTCAGATGCAGAACATTCCACTACCATAGAAAGTTCTCACTTACATTGTAAAGTCCTTGCCGTGGCCAAAACACAGGAAGCAATGAGTAAGTGCACACTATTATTTTTAAAATTTGGTGGGGTTTGTGTGAGGGGTGGTGTGCCAGGGATTGAACTCAGGGCACTTGGCCACTGAGCCACCTGCCCAGCCCTTTATTTATTTATTTATTTAGAGAAAAGGGTTTTACTAAGTTGCTTAGCACCTTGCTTTTGCTAAAGCTAGCTTTGAACTCAAAATCCTATTTCAGCCTCTCAAACTGCTGGGATTACAGGTGTGTGCCACGGCGCTGGGCTTATTTTTAAATTTAAAAAAAAAAAATCAGTACTTGGATTGAACCCAGGAGGGCACTACACTAAGCTATATCCCCAGCCTTTATTTTAATTTTTTATTTTGAGATAGGGTTTTGCTAAATTGCCTGGGCTGGCCTCAAACTTGTAATCCCCTGCTTGTCTCCCTAGTTACTGAGATTACAGGTGCACACACTATTCCTGACTTAATTTTATTTATTTTAAATCAGATCAGGATTGGTTTGGTCACTGGGGAAAAAAATAATATTTTCCAGCCTGCCTGATCTGAAGAGGACAGCTGCTCCTCATCTAAAACCCAGTGTCACCATGTGGGAGTGCTTTAAAAAATACACAGAAAGTGTGAAAAAAAACAATTTAATGAAAAATATTATAAGTAGACACCTTGGTGGCTGCTGCCAGGTCAAGGAATGGAGTGTTACTGGTCCCTTGTAAAGCCCCCAAGTATCTTCCTTGCTCTCTACAGGTCTGGGTTTTTTAAGTGCTGTGAGAAATGACCAAAGCATATCTGGGTACCACTTCAGATCCCTGGCCACAAGTTTGAGTCTCTGAAATAAAGTTGATGTAATATGGGCCATTTTCTAGGCTTTGTAAAAATCCTGGCCATATCCTTTGAGTCTATCCCTATAAGCGAAAGTATAGGGTTGGGGCTGGGGATCAGTGGCAGAGTGCTTGCCTAGCATGTGTGAGGCCCTGGGCTCCATCTCCAATACTAGGGGGCGGGGGAAAGGGGGAGTTTACACAGTGACAGTATCTAGTGTAGAAATCCTGACAAAATTGAGGATCACTCTTGCATCAGAGAATTGAATTCAACACAAAATAATCTCATTCTACACCTTGTGTTCCACAGAATGCTCCCTCATATATCTGATCCTCACAAAAGTCCCTGTTACAGATAAAGAAACAAGCTCTCAATCCCAGCTACTTGAGATCCTGAGGCAGGAGGATTGCAGGAGGATCTCAAATTTGAGGCCAGCCTGGGCAAGGAAGGAAAGAAGGAGACAAGCTATCGGATTATTTAGGTAATTTGAGATTCCTAGCTGGATTTCGTTTTTCACTTTCAATAAATGAAGCCTCCACCACATTAAAGTCCCATAATAGATTTAGCAGAACAAGACACATGGCATTTGCATTTTCCCAGGGAAGCATAGCAAACAACTGATTGTTCAGATGATTGAATTAAAAGTGGGATAAATATGGAGGAGATATATAGGGTGCTATGAGAGCATATGACAGGTGGTCCCAACTGTGTTAATGCCTCTTAGAGAAAGCTTGCACAGTGAGCTTTCAATGATGCACACTGAAGAGCAGCACTCTACTAAGCACATTGTAGATGGAAGAACACAAGGCAGAAAACTGAAATCTAAAGTAGGCTAGATAAAGGGGGAAAAGAGTATGGGATGAAGCTGGAATGGTGCCCAGTGAGACCATCACATTATAGGCCAAGGTAAGGATTTTTGTCTTTTTAAAACTGGAATATGACTTGCATATGATTTGCATTGTAAAAGGACCACCCTGGATAGAGAATGAATAAGAGGTGGGAATAGATGCAGGGAGAACCAAATGGTGGCTTTGTCTAGGACAATGGTAATAGCCAGAGACAGAAGCAGATAAATGTGAGAAGATAAGGAAAATGACAAGTATTAGTGGTTGGTTGGCAGGGTCAAGGATAGAGGAATCAAGCACAAGCACAACCCTTGTCAAGTAGGCAGACATTCCCCCAGTAAGATAGGACCACTGAAAGATCACTGGTGAGGTGACTTTATTTTAAGCATGAGTTTAAGGGGTTTATGAAAAATCAAGATGTAGATATCTGGTGGGCATCAAAAAATTTGTGTTCACAAGTTTGGTGATAACACAATGTGGAAGTGATTGGTGTACAGGTAGTGACCACAGGCATCGGTGAGGTTGCCTAAAAGAGCCAAGGACTAGGGACTGGGGTTGTGGCTCAGTGGTAGAGCACTTGCATAGCATGCACGAGGTACTAGGTTCGATCCCCAGCACCCCATAAAAAAACTAAATAAACAAAATAAAGGTATTGTGTCCATCTACAACTAAAAAAAAAAAAAAAGAAAAAAAAAGTCAAGGACTAAACCGAGAAGTACTTGAGTTGGGCAGAAGACCAAGAGGAGGTGACCAGAGGTAACAGGAAAATCAAGGGAGTAAGGTAACACAGAAACCTGAGGAAACTGATATGTTAAGAAGAGGGGAAGGAAGGTTGTTGCCAAGCCTCTAAAGCTGCTCAGAAGCCAAGCAAAATAAAAACTGAGAAGAGTCCATTAGAATCAGCATGAAGGCCATGTATGACCCTAGGAAGGGGCCTCTGAGCCAGGGATAAAAGCAAAACCTAGATAGAAGCGAGTCCCTGGAAAGTGCATCTGCGGAGAAAATGGAGCCCTCTGATAGGGGAGGCAAGGGACAGGGCAGTGATGGAAGCCAATAGGAAGAGGGGAATGGAGTTGGCAGTTTTGCTAACATGAAAGAAACTTGAAAGGGCTTAATTGTTACTGGGAACAGAGAGAAAGAAGTTGGCAATTAAGAAAGGAGACAGGATTCCCAGCGTGTTTTAAGGTCTGACTGCAGAGAGGCACAGTGCAGGTGTTTTGGAGACAGTCTTCCTATCAGCAACTGCTGGTTATAGCTTTTTTAACTGTAAGCTGTGTTTATCATGCTGCTTTAAATGAGGTCAGTCAACTATGCTTTCCAAAAGGATTTGGAAATTCACCTAATTATTCCGGCAGTGTCACCCATCTCTTCTACCACGGGCCTTACCATTTGATTATTCTCACATTCAATCAGGACCCTGTGCTTCCCAGGACCTGGGGTTCTGTATTGTAACAAAGAGTTCCTAAAATGAACAACTTACCGTGTCACTGGGAATTTGGTTTCAGGGATTAAATCATATATTTCTTGCCATTCTCGGGGTATAGCAATAAAATCTCGGTAAACCTTGAATTGTAGCACTGTTCCTATGGTGATATTTTGCAAAAGCTTTAAAAATTCTCGAAGAGTATATCCTAATACATTGGCATGGCCAACACTAATCAGAACATCACCTAAAAGAGGAGAAATATTATCAGTAAAATTAAGATAATGGGTTGGAAAGGACCATATTTCTGACTTGGTTGTGGAATATCTGTTTATATTGTTGGTTCATTTTGAACCAAAACTAGGCTTCAACCTTGACTTATTAAAAATATTCATCTCTTTGACATGAATGTCTTTTGTATAACGAAGAATATTTACAAGATGTTTCTTAATAGCAGTATAATGGAGGATATTAAACCATGAGACATTTCTAAAGTTCTTGGTACAGAGGCTATAAACCATTTATAGTCTGAACCATCCTTTGGGATTCTAAAAATATATTAGTTTGAGATAAAATGGATGGCTGTTACTAGTAAAGGAAAAAAAAACATTTACACTCAGTGATAAATAAATGACCTACTTTCTATTATACCTGCCTGGCAATTTCCAGCGCCCTCCACCGTAAATAGACTATATTAATCAAGCCTTTCATTTCCATTTTCTGCCCCATGCAGAATTACTTGGGCACATAATTTTGTATGAAACACTGGGCAATTAGCTTGCTTTAATTATGCTGAAGCTGTATATGCAGAGAGTATATTGAAAGGAATTTGATGGCTTGGGAGAGGGAGTTTCTGAGCCCCCAGTAGGTGGAAAGAGAACTACATTTTGGCAACAAACCCCTGAGTCCCCAAAATGGAAAAGCTAAGAAACCAATTCTTTACTTGCACCCACCTCCCCTGCCTCCCTACCCTACCAGGTTGATATGGGCCTATAAACCAGTGCAGTCACCAGGCACTCCCATCTGGGTCACTGAACCTGGAGGAGATGCAGGGCAATGACAGGAGCATGCGGTTTCCAGGAGCAGCTATACATGGTCCTTTCCTCTCTCCCTATCTTCTGAGCCTGGTTCTCCAGTCTGTTGGCCAGGCAGTTGGGGCAGATGCAGTATCCTAAATTCAGTGCCTCACCTGCTTTCTGTTGTTTGGAGTGAAGAACTCTGAATGCCACTTGCCTTCAGCAGACTTTGATATGCTGTTCAAGGCCAGACTCACATTGGGCAAAATTTTAATCCTCAGAGCTTACTAGGAACTGACTTCTTACCAACAGTAATAGAAACTTTAGAGCTGACATGGGATGAAGTGGCCTGGATGAAGTTATAAATGGTGTGTGTTCACTTCTCCGAGTGTGGAAAACTAGGCATGCTCCAATCATTCCAAGACAGATGAAACTCAACCTCAGAGGAGAAAAGGATCAAGAAGAAGCACTTTCTCTGATCCCAGTGAGCTATAGTCAGAAATTGCAGTGATCACCAAGGATTTCCACAGTGCTAGACCCATCAGAAACAAGTGCTTAGTATTCCAGTAAATGAATACTTAGAAGGATTGAGAAAACCTTCCACCTTGGTCTTAGGAATTAGCTATGAGTTAAATCAGCCACGTACCTGAAGCTACACTTCATAAAAAACAAGGCTTCTCCCAGCTCCCTGCAGGCCACACAGTATGAAGCAGCTGCTCCTCCGACTGAGGTTAATTACAATGGGGGGAAAACCCTCTCTGGATGAGCTTACTTGTCTAATGTTAAAAGGAGTGTTTATAGCTGAAAGCTATGACTTGGCATTGTGCTTAATTATGTTGTAAAAGGGTGACTTTATCAAGAAAGCAGAAAATAAACAGCTTAATACCCTGATGGTTCTGGCTATAAACCAAGTGTGTCAGCGTACGAATGTGATTACTCTGGCAATAGGCATTAACACTGCCCTTCATAGGGAGACACCAATTTGGTGTTTATGAACACCAACTTCATTACACATCTTCTTTTCTGTTTTAATGGGCTGTAGAATGATATTGCATAAACTTTGTCTCGATTACCTATATTAAATCAACTCTGTAGCAGTCGTGTCACTACTGAAAAATACATTTTTTTCTCTGTCCCTCCCAACAAGGCTATAAGTTGCTTAAGTTCTACATGTTAGGGACCAAATCTGCTTGGCTCCCCAATGGACCCACAGTGCCTAGCTGGGTGCGTGTGCACAGCAGGCATTCAGGAAATACTGACTGAATGAATGAATGAAGCCTGGTACGAGCAGTGGCCAGGGCACAGGTTAGCTACTGTCAAAGCGGCATTAATTTCTTAAGACTTTGGTTGGCAGTCTGTTGAAGCCATAATGGCCAAGGTAGATCTAAAGTTTAGCCAGAATAAACTCACACTAAACTAAATCAGGAGATTTGAGATGAAACTCCATCATGAATGACCAAAGAAGAAGCTTTAAAACACAGGAATAATAATTAATGGGACTGAGAGGCTATGAAACCAAAGAAATATCGAATTTCTACACTTATTGCCTTCCATGTTCTTATTTATAAAAAATGAATTACAAAGACTGAAGTCACTGACTTCTCATGAAGAAATCTGGGACTCTGGACTCCTTATGTACTAAAATCTGATTTCTAGTTATTAGGCAATTGTCTAGAAAGGTATGGGCTTTCCGGGCAGACATGGGTTCAAATCCCAGCTCGGACCATGGACTAAAGCCATGTATTTTGAGCAAATTACTTCATCTCTCTAAGCTTCTATATTTCATTATTTACATTCTAGGAGTGTTGCAAACGCAAAATTCAATAATAAACGTAGAAATGGGCTGGGGACGTGGCTTAAGCGGTAGCGCGCTCGCCTGGCATGCGTGCAACCCGGGTTCGATCCTCAGCACCACATACAAACAAAAGATGTGTGTCCGCCAAAAACTAAAAAAATAAATATTAAAAGTTCTCTCTCTCTCTCTCAAAAAAAAAAAAAAACCTTGTCTCAAAATAAAACCTAAAAAAATAAAAATAAATGTAGAAATATCTTGTATAATGTCTGGGACAAATACATAATAAACGTTCCAGACCTGGAGATAATTCCTGGGTTGAAAAAGATGAATTCGGGACTGCCTCTCACCTCAAAGAGCACACCAGCTGTAGTCCCACCATGAGATTCTGTGTCACAGGGATGAACCAGAACACACTCTTGTCCCACTCTAGCACCCAGGAGTATGCACCTGGTTACCAACCAGCATTTGTCACCTGACTCAAGAGCTGAAAAGAAGGAAAGTCCGTGGAACCTGACCTGGAGATTTTTCAGTCTGTGTATTGAAGGTTTGATCACCAGCTTGTGGAACCACTGAAAAATGCTGGAACCTTTAGGATGTAGAGCCTAGTAGAAGGCCCCTTCATCTCTCTCTCTCTCTCTCTCTCTCTCTCTCTCTCTCTCTTTTTTTTTTTGCCCCCCAGCTGTCAGGAGATGAGTTGGTTTCTCTGCCACACACTCCTACCATGATGTGCTACTTTGCCACAGTTCCAAAGCAACAGAGCCAACCAACCATGAAACTGAAACCTCTGAACCATTAGCTAAAATAAACCTTTCCTCCTTATAAGTTGTTTACCTCAGGCATTTTGTCACAGTGACAGAAAGCTGACTTAATACAGTGTAAGGAGCCCAGAACTCTCCGGGCAGTTTGTTCCTCAGCACCAAGTAGTGATATGGGGAGAAAATGCTTTGGATTTTAAGATAAGTTAATCTTTCAATATAACATTTATCTATTTTATTTTTTAATTTGTTGCTTCAAACCCTATCTGAGTCATCTGAGGAGATTTTAAAGCATGAGCTAGCTGCCCTGTCCTAACCCTATACCAGTTGAATCAGAACCTGTGGGGAGATGGGGCCCAGGTGATTTTAACAGGTAACCAGGTAACTGGGACTTGTATATCACAATCATTTTTTATTTTTTTAAAAAAGACACAAATATAGAGAATCTATAAATCAGAACAGTGTAACAATTGCCAATTTTTCTAGAAGTTCTCAAAGCACTTTTATAAAAATTATTTCATTAAATCCTAGCAACCCCTGACAAAGATAGGATCCCCCAAATTTAGAGATGAGGTGACTGAGACCTGGAAGGTTAAGGACCTTTGCCCAGTATCACAAAGCTAGAAAGTGACAGAGCTTGGGCCAGAATCCAGGTCGCCTAACCTGAAATGTTTTGTTTTGTTTTGTTTTTCCTTTTGACCACTTCACCATCCCACTGTGCTTCACTCCTGGGCACAGCAGCAGGCCTGGAGGAGGCACTGGGAAAATGTGTCTCTCACCAGATAGAACACGCATTCACCCAAAGATTGGTAAAACCCTGGGGCTCTCGGGTCCTAGCTCCTCGGTGTGACTGTGGGTAAATATTTGATTTTTTGTGTGTAAGGTGGATTAATGCAGAATCTGCCTCTTGGGTTTTCAGGAGGGTGAAACATGATAATGGGTCCAAGTGTTGGTTATGATTAATACTGCCTAGAAGAGAAGAAATCTTTATCACAGAGAGGCATAAGCTCTGGAGTGACACTGGACTTCCAGTTGTAGCCACCTACAAGGTGCACATGACCTGGACAAGGAACTCAGTCTCATTGAATCTCAGTTTCCTCACCTGTAAAAGGAGGATGATAATAAAAGTTCCTACCTAGAGAATTAAATGAATAAGCACTTCTGACAGCGAGAGTTATATGTATGGGATAGCAATTTACTGGACTGCAGAGAGTTCTCAACCAATGCCATCATATTATTATGGTTATGCTGAAACTGTGTGGCTCCCTGAAGGCAGAGGAGAGGGGACATGGGGAAACCACAGTCACCTGGCTTGAGTCTCCGGTCCTTGGCTGCAGCCCCATTTTTGATGAGGTGGGAAATCTGGAGGTAGGGCCCATGCTGGATGATGATCAGGCCTAATCCCAGTCTGCCCACAGTGAGTTTGGTCTGCTGAGTTTTGCTCAAGTTGTGTACAGAGTTCTTGAACTCGAAGCTGAATTGTTTTCCTAATAGAAAGAGGGGAACTTGTTTCAGTTATTTATCGAGACAGCAGCATGGCAGTAGTTTCTGGGGTTCTGAAGCCAGGCTGCTGGGGCAGTTATGAAATCTACCTATTCCTTAGTTTCTTCATCAGTAAAATGAGGGTTACAAAAGTGTTATGAGAATTACATGAGTCATTAAAGGGCTCTTGCACAATGTCAGACACACCGTGGGGGTTTAATCAATATCAGGTATTATTATTATCAGTTCACTTAACAAATACTTATTGTGCTTACCACTTACCATGGTGAGTCAAACAAATGTGTTTCTTGCCCTTATGGATCTTGTAGACAGGGAAGGAAACAAATATCAGTTACATAAATCTACATTGGATAACAAACTATAACACAAGCTATGAAAGAAAAATAATACTCAGGATGAACAGCAGGGGGCGCCTCATTTTCTTCTGGGGAGGGTCCCTCAATTGGGCTTTCCTGAGAGGGTGAATACAAATTCAGAAAGGACCAAAACTATTTACTCAAAAGAGAAAGGGAGAGAGAAAATTGGATCAAGGTTCTGAGATTTCCAAAGCCCTGCTGAGAATATGAAGGAGTCCACTAGTAGGAGGCGGCCAGAGGCCCAATGGTGGGGCTGACAGGGGCTGGTGCTCAGGTTTGCCCTAATGAAAAAGCTCAGAAGTGATTTAAGCTGGACATGATTCCGTTTGCATTTAAATCAAACTTCTGGCTGCTGGGTGGTGTGTGGGTTGTGGAACCCAGAGTTGACTAGAGAAATGGAAAGGTTACTGCATTCACCCAGGTATGTCATAGTGGTGACAGAGGAAATGGACAGTAGACGGATCCAAAAAGGACTTGGGAAGGAAATCCAAAGGCCTTTGGGACAGTTGAGTTGTAGAGATGTTGAAACATGCTTTTTATAGATCCAACTCTCACAAGGAAATTTCAAGGATTAAGGAGTGATTGAAAACAAGTGATTTTTTTTTCCTCCAGAGGAAGCTTCTAGAAGGCTCTTTTTCAGTACACAGGAAAGTTCTGTGTGGAGAGCTGTTTTCTGCACACTGTTCCAGAATTCCATACACAGTTGATTCCATTAGGATGAGTGACACACTGCAACTGGCCAAGTCCTTGCTGTGTCCATGTGACTGCTGTTTTCATGGTCTGCTGAGAGGGGCTCACCCAGCTGTAGAGAACTGGCAGAATTCACCTCCCTTTCCTCAAAGCAAAAGCCTTTGCCCATCTCCAACCTCATCTTCCCCGGAACCACAGACACTTTCTGGCTGGAAAACTACCCAGGATAAAGAAGATAAGGTCTTCAGAGTTTTTTTAGGGGCAATTTGGGGCCCGGGTATGCTCTTGTTTGAGCCTCTGGTTCCTGGGCAGACAGAGAAGTCCATCCTCTGCAGGGTCTGGGTCTCAACCTCAGCCTGCAAATTAAATGTGCTTGATGATGTAGTCTATGGAGCCTAGATTCAAAAGACAGCAGGGTAAGCAAATGAAGCCAGCCTCAAACAGCACCATCCATGATTCCATTTTTATGACATTCTCCATAGAAAAACACACAATTCTAAACAAATCAGAGTGTGAGAAAGTAGGGAGAAGGAAGAAGTAGGCAACCAGAGGGCGGCTCCAGTGTAACTTGGGGGGTGGTAGTACATTCCCTGTCTTGGGGTGGTTCGATGTGGTTGTATGCTTGTCGAAACTCATTGAGATGTCCACTAAGAAGGGAGGCCCTACTGAATGTAAATTATACCTTTATAAACAATGGTGAGAGGTTAGCTTCCAGGCCAAGGAGGTGACGTCCCCATTTTACAGAAGAGGGAAGGTGAATATGGCCTGAAACCCAAGACCTCACCCTCTCCCCATTCTCCCCAGTTACCATATCCGCATTTTCCCTTGGACTCCTCCATGGCCCCGGGAGGGTGGGCGGCTCAGGAAAACCTCCTGGAGCCTAGGCTGGAGCGCGTCTAACGGCCGGCAATTTCGAATCTTGCAGAAGCACGCGCAGGGCAGCACTGCAGGCAACCCCCCCGAGTAGATTTCGGGCGCCGTCCCTCGGGCTGACCGCCAGGGGGCACTGCGAGGCCGTCGCGCAGAGGCTGAACCGCAGTGTGGGAGCCTCCAGGGCTGTGTGGACCTTGGAAAACTTGGCAGGGGTGTTACACTCCAATGTGGCATGTGAAAACTTTGGGGTGGAAAGAATGGAACTTCTGCGGGGACAGGCAGAGTGCCAGGCTCACACTGGGTTCTTCATTCACTGGTGATGAAACCCAAATGGGATGGAACAGAAAGCAAAGAGGAGTTTTCTCAAAGATGGCAGAGGAAAAGCACAGCTAGAAGATCACAGAATCCCTAGAAGATCACAGTCCCCTGCTGCACGCCTAATGATGGTATTTTTAAATACTGTTGCATCAACAGCTCCAATTGCTTTGCCACTACACTTTTTTTCATAGATGTTTTGGTTGAGAAAAGGCCAAGGGTGGCCTGAAAACAATGAGTCACTATTAAGAGAGGGATTAATGCTTCCTTCTTTTTTCCAAAATAACCCTTCCTCCCACACACATTCACTCATACAGCAAATATTCACTGGAAGCCGCTGTGGTTTGTGGGGATGCTGGGGACAAAGTAGACAAGACAAACAGGGCCCTATCCTCTTGGAATTTATGCTTGAAAAACAGACAATGGGGACAATTTTACGAAAATATAAATTTTCAAAATAAATTCTAGGCATGTGGCATATGCCTGAGATGCCAACAACTGAAGAGGCTGAGGTAGGAGATAAAGGCCTGGGCAAGAGAAGGAGGAGGAAATAACATGAGGTAGGTCCCCACTCTGAAGAAACCAAGAGGTTAAGCACCTTGCCTAAAGGCATTCACCTATCAGATGTCAGGAACTGTGCTAAGATTTCTCTGGTAAACTTGAGTAGGCCCAGGTTATTCTGCTGATTTTTCTGGCACTACCCAGACAGGCCAGATTTCTCATTGGATAAATCCTGTGTCACTGAACCTCACATATAGTGCTACTGTCAACCTCAAGGAATCTTCAACCAGTGGTTTCTTGTTTTATAGGTCACCTGTTTCCTCTTCCAAATAGTCTGGCAGGGATCTATCTAGATAACAAATAAATTCTTTCATAAAATGTACCCTTTGCCTCTGTCTTCCCATCAGCAGGGAAATGGTGAGATTTGTGGGATTTAAGCACCTGAGTCTTCTCTCCATGCCAGACAGAAAAATCTCTTAAGGGCTCATGGTATAAATGCAGGATACAAATTGTCACGGATGCTGTGCTGTTTTGCCCAGGTCCTCCTTCAGGGCTGAAGGACTTATGCCTCCCCCAATTCACCATTCCTTGCTGCTGGCTGAGTGAGCCCCTTGCCCAAGATCCTACCTTCCCAGGGCAGCTAGAATCCAATGACTGACAGCACAGGGCCATCCCAGCTTCAGAGCTCTCTATGGGGGCCACTGTCAGGCCCTGTCATGGTTGTCCTGCAGCCAGACTTCTCCCTCTGCCCACAGGGGTGGGTCCCAAAAGCACTCTCCCACCAAACTCCCTGTGACTTGGAATCTGTCTTCTAAAGACCCCAATCAGCAACAGAGAGTGCCAGAGGTGATCTGAAGGAGTAGATGCCCAAATGAGACATGGGAGCTGGATTACCCAATTTAATGAGGTCCCAACCCCGCATAGCAGCCTCTGGCACAGGGAAGCGTAAAGACTGCAAATGTTTTCCCGGTAGTAAATGGATGATATACCAGGGGAAGGAAATTTAAGAGCAGGTATCATGTATCAGACATTCATTAGGCTAAGGAATCGGCAGGAAGAGTAATCACCAGGAAGGAAGCAGGTAACTGCTACACATATGGACAGGAAGCAGGTGACCTGTGGCACCCAGATGATCCACTTAGGTGTTGTAGTCCTTAGTCATATTTTGACAGTAACTAACTGGATAAATACAGCAGCCACAGCAACGAGGGCCTTAAACTTCAGGGCTGGAGGTCTAGGCCACTCGACCACATGAGCCCCCTAGACCATCAGAGGTGCTGGCATGGTGTGAGAGGAATCTTGGGTGAGTCAAAGAGGGAAATGATGAGGATGTCAGTTATGCTTCAAGATGAGCTGCCACTTTCCTCCAGGAGTTTCCCAAGAGAAAAGATACCTACCAGAGTCCTGGAGGAGCCACTTTCAGGACTTAAATAAACAAGTCAAAGTTGAGAATTGGGATGTTAAAGATAGTAGATATGTTTTCTACTGCAATAGAGCAGTGCTTCTCAAATCTGGGTAGGACATGGACCAACCATGAGTGATGTGATAGGAATTCAAGTAACTGGACAGATATGGCCCATTTTCCTGGGGGGTCAGTTTTATTTGAAGATATAAGGAAATTCTAAAAATTATTATTATGGAGCATAATACAAAATGCTAATGATCTGCTGAACACCATGGGGGCACTGTGGCAGATGCTGATGTGCCACTAGGTCCCCTTCAGGACTAAAGAATTATTCCCCAGTTACTGAAAGAGTTGTAGGTTGACAGATCTCTGCTGTTGGTCTTCTTGAGGAATTGTGCTTGGCTGCAGAGAGCCACCTTCCCTAAGGTCACACCCCATTCCTGGGGTAACTAGCTAATCCAGTGATTGACTGGTCAGTCTAAGAATGTAAAGGCTTGGCCTCTTTATCCCAACTCAGCAACTTGAAATTGCCATCTCAGCTTCAGAGCACCCCTCTGAGTCTGCCAAAGTCTTTTCTGACTCCCTGACTTCTGTGTCCAATCCTGCCTCCCTTCCCTCACAGGAGTTGATCTGAGAGCACTCACTAATAAATTTCCTGCACACTGATCAATAATCTCTTGCCTCTGAGTCAGCTCCAGGGGAATCAATGTAGGAGACAAACCATGATCTGATCCCTGACCAAGCTGTTAACCTCTGGATTTGGCTCTTTGGTCTTCTTTAATCCCAGAAACCCCCTGATATATACAAGTGGTGTGTTCTCCACATTCTTGGCCCACATAGTAAACTTGATCCCTAAGAGGAAGTGTGTTCTTTATTCTGTCAGGCCAAAGATACTCCTTAAAATGAAGAGTGATGACACCAGCCTCCCTTCCACAGCTTTCCCAAGGTCCCATCTGGATTCAGCCTCTTCTGCGATGAGGCCTGTCATCAATCACAATCAAGCACATCACATCCATGGCTCCTTAACAGCCACAGTATGGCTATTTATGTCTTTGGGTTTCCAGCAGAGCTCTCCCTGTGAGCCTTCTATGTTCTTCTGGATCCCCAAGGACTTTCTGCCATAAAGAGCCTCGTTGCTCATCTCTGATTAGAAGAGTCCCAGCTGTTTTCTTAGGTATGGGTGAGAGGATAGGATGCTTCTATCGCTAAGGCAGTGACTCTGGGTGTCTGTCTGGTTAGATAGGGGAAAAAGGCCAGGAGAGGTGACATGGCTTTCCCAAGTTCAAGTCAGTAGCAGGACTGGCACTAAATATGTATATCACTCCTCCCAAACCTCTCAAATTTGTCTCTACTAAAATCTAGAGAAGGGAACTGCTTTGTGCTGTAAATCTCAGTGGCTTGGGACTCTGAATTACCAGTTATTCTGGAAGTCAAGAATATGATGTGGAACCCAAATCAGGGATTAAGGGAAACTCTGTAAATAGCATATTTGGCCCCTACTAATCCCACCCCCATCCTGTTGGTGGGAAGGGAAGGCATGTGTCACTATGATCTATAATGCAAAGCAGAGTTGTGCAGCAGGAGTGTGCAGGGCCTGCATGATGATGTATAGCCATTCATTTGAGTAAAAGGTTTAAAAAAAAATTTTTTTTTAACTCAGTGCTGGTTGTTTTGTGCTTTCCTCTGATATCTAGAACCTTCTGTGGAGGGATAAATGCAGGTGGGTCTGGGAAGTGCTGCCACAGTAAAAGGAAGATTTACACCTGTATTTTTTAGTTATAGATGGACACAATACCTTAATTTAATTTATTTATTTCTATGTGGTTTTGAGGATCGAACCCAGTGCCTCACACATGCTAGGCAAGTGCTCTACCACTAAGCCACAACCCCAGCCCCTACACCTGTATTTTTTAAACAAAAGAATCAAGTCACTATCATTCTACTCAATCAGAATAGTTGCAAACTGTTTAACATTCCAATGTAGGATTCTCACTAGCAGGCCAGTGGTGAACATCAGTGGATATTATTCCAGAACCTAGTTCTGTATAGTTAGGGTTTTTCATCTATTAATAGGCAATCAAAACACTTGACAAGAAGCCAAAAACATGACTCCCTCAAATTTCTACAGTACTTAAAAAAGAAAAAAGACCTACTTCAATAATATATTGACTACAGTCTTGTATAACTAATTAGAACAAATAAAAACTTCTTTGAAAAAATAATGATATTGATATGCACTAAATCTAGATCTTTGGAACATAAAAATTATCTTGTGTCAATTTCTATGGCAGAGAAAATTACATTATATAATTTTTTTCAAAGTTCTTCTCCCAAGAGACCAGTGTTTGGACAGGAAAGTCTTTAGCAATCGAATCTTTTCTTCCCTAATCTATTTGTGCCATGGATAACTGCACATTTTTTGCAATGCTGTTGAATCTGGTGGAATTTGAAACCTGCTGAGTTTTGTGGACAGGTAGGCCTTCCAAAAATAGAGACAGATGTCACTCTTCTAGGTCTTTCTAGAGATGACCTAGGTGGCATTTAAGGAGAAAACAAGTGTCCTGTCATTATTTGCTGCATGGAGTCCTACCCAGGATACAGAGAGTGGGATCAAAAGTCAGAGTTAGTGTCACTTAATCCAGAAGTCATGGAAGGAAAATCAAAAACAAAAACCCTCCAGCAGATAACAAAATCATAGATGGCTAGATCATCTGTATTGCTAACTAAATTATGCAAATGTCTTATTTTTTTCTTGTTTATCCATTCAGCCTAGGATTCTCCTTACATCCCAACTCAGTAAATAGTA